TAAGCACAAAGATATAAATACTATGGCAAAAACTGAAAGCATTGACAGTACTTTGGCAGTAAGAATTGGGAGTGAGAAGTGGGGTGGCTTGCTTTTTACACAAGCCTGATATTCTTTTTAAGTTTTAAACGTATTTTGTACTTTGATTTAAAAATTTAAAACATGAATAAAATGAAAAAAGCTACTTTTAAAAGCATTTTAAATTTGCCTCTTAGTCAAATTTCCCAGCAGGCTGGGATCCCTGCCCTCAGTGCAATTGGAAATAACCAAGACATTGGATTCCACACATTTCAGCACTCTGGAGCTTACAACCTAATATGAGTGCTTTCACCCGGAGCCAAAGCCAGAGAATGTGCACCCAGGTCCTCCGTCTCCTGAGACCCCAGCTGACGACAGCGCAGGGAGAGAGCAGGAGGGGCGAGCCGGAAGTCGGTCTCGGGGCTGGGCTGGGCTGAGACCGTCCACCCTCCATGGACCTGCCGCAAGTGATGCCGGAGAGGGCCAGCCTCGTCCCGGTCCACTCCTCGGCTCTCCTCCACTGGTCCCCTTCTCTTCCCTGGCTGGTTTGAGCTGGGTGCTGGGCTGCGTGCGGACCGCGGTGTAGCAACAGACTCCTGTGAAATGTTTTCTCGTCTGGTTCTTTCTGAGGACAGGCCAGGCGTCAGCAGAAATGGGGACTGAGGAAAGACAGGCCCCCGGGGCAGGATGCAAGCGCCACACGGGCGGGCGCAACCCATGGCTTTTTCTGGTAGTGTAATAAGGTCGAGCTAAATGGCACCTTAATTCACCATCCTTCCTAGAGTCAGCACGGCAGCAAGCACCGCCCAGGTGTCTGCGTGTCGGGCCCCTGCAGCCTCCATGGAAACCAGCACTTGTATCTGATATGTATGTACTTACGTACGTAGCAGGCAGAGCCATTGTCCTGAAAGGGTTAAGTAGAAGCTCTAGGTGAGCTGCTTTTCCTGCCTTCAGCTCACTGTGGAGACAAGCCGCTTGGCCTTTCCGTCCTCCTCCTGTTGGTCCTGCCATCTCACCGCATCTGGGCACACTTCCAGGCTGGGGCAAGGGAGGGGAGAGCCCACATCTGGCCTGGAGCAATGATCCTCTTATAGTTCACTGTTTGTGAGACCTTTTAAAAATTGTTCTTACTTCACACATCAACTATTGACTTCTTCCAAAAAACTATCCCTTGCAAACTCTAGGCCCTGATGGTACCTGGTCCAGACAACCTCCTCCGCTCCCCCACACACGTCGACAAGGCAGGAATCAGGCTCATGGGAGGGGAGCGGCTGGTGCCAGGGCAGCCAGTCAGGACCAGCACCGCCCCTGTGGCCTTGGGTTCTCTCTAGAGTTCCACAGCGCAGACCCCAGCCTCCTGAGAACCCTGTGGCCCTCCTTGGCTACTGCCGGGAAGTTGTAAAATTCAGTGTAGAAGATCCTTTGCCTCCTTGACCTGTTCACATTCTGATTGGCTGGGAACTAGAATTCTCTGAAGCTAAGGGCAATTTTAAGGGTGTAGCCCTGGTGGCCTTTCTTCTTTTGTTTTCCTTTTTCTTTTGTTTGCTTTTGTCTGACTGGAGGAGGCGGGTTGTTGACATGCCCTTGTGGGAAGCTGCTTGCCTTTGTGTGGCTGTGGGCTCTCTCTTTCACTGGGAGGTAGGACTTCTTAACAGCCTCCCTGATATTTGCTACCCCCTGTGTATTCTAGCCACTCAACACTGCCACAGCCTTGCCCTTGAGCCTCCACTGTGGGCCTGGGGAGGACAGTAGGCTGCTGCAGCCACACTTGCCCGGCAGAGCGGAAGCTTCCAGAACGCTCCTGTTTTTACCTCTTCAAGGAGAACAAGTTTGAAGCTCTAAAACTGATTAAATGAGAGACATTCTTCTTTGCATTTCAGCTTCAGGTTTTATTTTTAATGTGTTTTTACTCAACAAGAAAGAAGATGTTTTCCTCTGAAATTTTTGGCTAGCCGGGGATATCTATAAGAGTTAATTTCTATTTAAAGCTAAAAAATGTGTTTTCCAATGGGAAAATTATGATTTTTATTGCCAGTGTTGGAAAAATGGTTGTGTTCTCAGCAACTATATATTTAAGTGATGTACTGGCGAAAACCAGCTTTTTGTGTTTCTGCGTAGAAGATGCACCGGGTATGAGTGAGGGTCTGTGCTCTCGTTACTTTGAAGGAGAAGCCCGCACCGCTGCGTGGCTGTGACTCGGGTCTCTGACCTCGCGCTTCTGCGTGCCGTTTGTCCTGTGAGGGGAGTGTTGCTGTTTGTCCTATGTTCTGGCAGCTAGTTTTTAAAAGAAAAGGGGTGCAGGGCGGGGTGCAGGCGGGAGCCCGGGCCATGTGCCATCCTGCCCCTGAGTGGGAGCCACACATGGAAATGGCATCGGTGCGGAAAGCCTGCTTTTGAGGCCTTTGTTTTGAACAAACTCTAGTGTCCTTTTTTCCTCTTTTCTAAGACTGAAACAGTGAAAAGTCATTAAGCTAGCAGGTGGCGGGCAGTAAGCGGGTGTACAAGGCAGTGTTGGTCTTCACATTCAATGGAGATGCCTCAGCCATTGGAAGTGGTAGTTCCTAAAACAGGACAGGAGCTCAGTTCTTTCCATGACGCTGCCCTCACCCATGGGAACCTGGTGAGTTTTGTGCACTGAGTTCTAAGAGCAGTCAATGGAGAACAAAGCCACAAAACATGGAAGGCAGCAAACAGGAGGCTGTGGGGTCAAAAGCCCACTTAGAGCTCCACTGAGGATAATGATGATGTGGTTAGTCCTCAGCCGAGAGACCAGATACCAGGTGATCCTTTCTACCCAGTTATCCCACAGGTGCGGTACTGGACATTCGCAGGAAATCATCTGTGAGTGTCTACTTCAGACGGATGCTAGTCAAGGGTCAGGGGGGAATCCAGAAGGAATGCTTAGGCTACAATAAATACCCATTGTAAACGTTTGTGTCTAATATCCCCAATGCTTCACTTCAAACTGTCTTTTTTTAAATATGTTTTTATTGATTTCAGAGAGAGGAGGGGAGAGGGGGAGAGAGATAGAAACATCAGTGATGAAAGAGAATCATTGATCGGCTGCCTCCTGTATGCCCCCTATAGGGGATCGAGCCCACAAATCAGACATGTGCCCTGACTGGGAATCGAACCATGACCTCCTGGTTCATAGGTTGATGTTCAACCACTGAGCCACATCAGCCAAGCTGTTTTGTTTTTTTAATATTTAATCTCAATGTCATATTAAAGTTTGTGGTAGTAATATCGACTTCCTGTGTCTTGAGAAATTTGATAGCTGTTTATTCTCTAGAGCAATGCAATACAGTACAGTAGCCACTAACCACATGATTATTTAAATTAACTTTAATGAAATAAAATTAAAAACTCAGTTTCTCAATCAGACCAGTCACATTTCAAGTGCTCAGTAACATGACCAAAAGGGGGATATGTGGATGAAAAGGGGCACATGCTAACCTGACGAGCTCAGCAAGGCCTGCACAGTGGCCTTGCAAACTCAGAGACCTAAAGTGACCACAAAGGATGGTCTGAAATTAAAACTTTTAAATTAAAAAGTGGTCTGTGGTGCGTAGTCATGTCCTAGGCCGGTATCTTCCCTGACAAAAGTCACTAACATGTGGCTGCAGGCTGCTGTGTGGAGCATGCTGAGAGGTGTTTTGCCTTCCGAGGTCGCCCGGCTAGCGTCTTTCCCTCCGTGGGGAGAACTGGTGCTTTGTTCTCTGCACTGCGGAAGTGTGTACTGTCGGACGTCTGGGCTAGAGGGACAAACAGCCAGATGAGGGCCTGTGCCTATGTCCACACTGTGGGTCACTAGAGCAGCTGGATTAGGGGCGGCTGTCGGAGCCAGGCTGGTGAGTCAGGCGCCTTTTGCACCTGTTGGTGGATGCAGAGTGATGTTAACGTTAACAGAATCGGCTTTGGAGACAGTGTGTCCTTCTAGCTGGGGCTTATGAGCTGGCAACACTGCGCAAGTCCCCTTAACTTTTCTGAACCCGTTTTCTCCTCTGTAGAATTGGAATGAAATACCTACTTCCTAGGTTTGTTATGAGAATCATATTAGGTAAAGAATCTGGAATAAGGAATATCAAATACTCCCTGGCTGGGTCGCTCAGTGGCTTAGAGCATTGTCTCGATAAGCCAAGGTTGCAGGCTCCATTCCCGGTCAGGATACATAAAGAATCGACCCATGAACCAGGAGGTCACAATTTGATTCCCGGTCAGGGCACATGCCCGGGTTGTGGGCTCTATCCCCAGTGGGGGATGTGCAGGAGGCAGCCGATCAGTGATTGTCTCTCATCATCGATGTTTTATCTCTCTCTCCCTCTCCCTGGAATCAATAAAAACATACTATAAAATATTTTTTTAAATCAACCAGTTAATGCATAAATAAGTGAACAACAAATCGATGTTTCTCTCTGTCCCTCTCTAACATCATTTTTTTTTAAAAAAGAATATCAACTATTGAGTGTGGGATGTGTAGTAAGCATGTGCTTGATAGCAGTTGTTTGTATTCATATTAATAATAATGACATTTATTATTCTAGTTGATGTCAGTTCTCTTCTTGATGAGTGCTGAAACCTCTTTAATTATTTTTCTCCTTTATTTGCCCTATATCTACTTTCTTTTGTTTTATTGTCTTTTGTCTTTTTCGGGGGGGGGGGGGAGCTTAGGGCCTTGGGTTACTGTTAGTGATATTTAAGGATTAAGAATTTCCTGTCCCCTAATTGCTATGATACAGTGAAGAATGGGGAATAATAGATATAAAAATGAAACCGAACCCTGTAAGGATTCACAGAAACACAGCACTGTTAACCAGTATTTCTGAGGAAGCTGGTATGGGTATATGGGCCCAGGGCCATGTGGAATAATTGGCCAGTAGAAATGGGGTCCATGAACCCCCCTCATTTGTTGTAACTGTTACACAAACTGTCATGAGAGCCATGGCCAGAAGATCCCTCTGATTCTATCTTTCCTTATGTAGCAACAAAGGAGAGAGCGTGAGGCTAGAAGGCAGCAAGAACGTGAGCAGCGAAGGAGAGAACAAGAAGAGAAGAGGCGGCTAGAGGAACTGGAGAGAAGGCGGAAAGAGGATGAGGAGCGGCGGCGGGCCGAGGAAGAGAAGAGGAGAGTCGAGAGAGAGCAGGTTAGTTCACAGGGATGTTCCCACCTGTGCTCGGGAGGTGTGTCACTTTGTAGAGTTGGGGTATTTAGGGCAGAACGTACACACGCGTGTGGGTGCACATGTCCAGGACATTAGAGGGTCAGGATGCTGAAACAAATTAGAAGTAACCAGTAAACTGAGCCTATTGTCTTTTTTAAAAGACTTATACACTATTACACTTTAGGAACCTTGAAACCAGAAAAGTGGTCTACCGATAGTACGGTGGCTGAAAGATTTCTGAATATATCTTCTCAGGTTCAGCTTAAATGCTTCAGACCTAACACTTTAAAAATGGTATTAAAAGTCAATTGTAAGAAATTTCTTATGAGCAATATTTGAAGTAACCACTGGCTAACCGAATATTTAATACTAGATGCCCGGTGCACAGATTTGTGCACTGGTGGGGGGGGTCTCTCAGCCTGGCCTGTGAGGATCGGGCCGAAACCAGCAGTCCAACATCCCCCGAGGGGTCCTGGATTGCGAGAGGGCACAGGCCAAGCCGAGGGACCCCACGGGTGCACAAATCCACGCACCGGGCCTCTACTATGCGAATAAGATTTTTGGTTAATCTCTTCCCACCCTCCCCCCTTCCCCTTCCCTCTGAGATTCATCAGTCTGTTCCATGTTTCCATGCCTGTGCGTTGAGCGTCTGCTCCCTGGTGGTCAGTGCGTGTCATACGCCTCGGGTTTTCTGAGACTCGGTCTGCCTGCTCATTGCCAGTGTTCCTAGGAATTCGAGTGACGTTTTTTATGTTACCTTCCTGACATGGTGGGCCAATTAACTGGTGTGTTTTGTTTTGTTTTTCTCACATTTCAATTTATACTTGGGGACTGCAAAGAAGACATAACATGCACTACATGCTTTTAAAAATTAAATCACAATTTAATCCTCACAATTCAGTTGTGATAAGATGATATGAAACTGATACTTAGCCTTTATTGTTCTAGTGACAGGCATTAGCTATTGTGTATAGTAAGCATTGTTCACCTCTTTAAAAAAGTAACATCAAAACAAACTAAATAACATCAAAAGTCAGTTTTATTCGGCTTTCCTCATTCTGTTGCAGAATTCCCATGGGAACAGTGCTGAGGGAACACCCCTTCTGCATAAGTGTGCCTGTGTGTGTGCCTGTGTGACTGCCCTGTGTCCGTGGACTAGGCCCTGTGACTTGGATAGATGTGCATTTTCCAGGTGCCCCTGTGTTTTGAAGGCAGAAAACAAATGAGTGGGCTACTTGATCCTTTAGCTCAGGGGTCCTCAAACTTTTTAAACAGGGGGCCAGTTCACTGTCCCTCAGACCATTGGAGGGCCGGACTATAGTTTAAAAAAAAAAACGATGAACAAATTCCTATGCACACTGCACATATCTTATTTTGAAGTAAAAAAACAAAACGGGAACAAATACAATATTTGTATTTGCATGTGGCCCGTGGGTCGTAGTTTGAGGACCCCTGCTTTAGCTTATGGCTTAATTCTGTCTAGTCCAGAGAAGAGGGGGTGGGCGGGGTCCTTCCTCGGTCACTCTGGGAGGCGTGCGTGCTCGGCCCTTCCTTCGTGGAGCCTGGGTTGGAGTCAGGGTGCGTTAGCCACTGGTCTGTGAGTATGCTTTCTGCCAGACTGGCTTTTTTTATTGTTTTTTTTGGCTAAATTTTCTTTGTAAGATGAACATTTCTCAGGAAATTTACATGTCGTGATTTCTGTTACCCAGCCTTCTCGCAATTAGATTTATTGGTTAGCCACAACTTCACTTCAGGTACCTCAGGGGTGCAGCTTGGGATAAGTGGGTTGTCAGCAGTGGACTCTGTAAAGAAGTATCTGAATTTCAGAGTGAAGGCTGCCCTCAGGGACCCCTTAGCCTACTCCCCTTTCGAGTAGTTAGCTTTCTTCCCCATTGAAAAGGAAAGACACCTGTTTTTTGTACAAACTTTGTTCTTTCTGAGGTTATCTGTAACTCATATCTGTAACTCATATTTGAGCCTCACAGAGCCATCCTGAGAGTGGGGAGGGAAGGCCCTGAAGTCATTTCTCAGATGTGGAGCCTGCCAGCCTGGGAGGGCTTGCTTGGTCCACAGCGAGGGCCTCTGGTTCCCCAGCCATTAAGTATGCGTGGAGACTCCAGGCTGGCGTTTTCCTCTTTATATACATATGTTGGATGTGTTTGCCCATTTTCATTCTTCATCCTTCTCTTTCCATTGGAAAAGCCACTCCCCTCTCCTTTCTCTCTCAGGGACACCCAGGGCCCCTCCTTGTGAAGAACCTGGGCCTGTTCGTTGGTGGAAAGTCGCCCGAGTCTGACATGTCCAGACTTTCAGAATGTAGTTATTCTAGGTGCCTTATGTATCTATCACCAGCGAAAACACAAATCCTGCTTGTTGTATTTTAATATTAAACAGGTTTTGGTTTGGGGTTTTAAAAATTGGCAACCCATGCTTGGTCTAAATAATGACTAAGAAGCAGACTTTTATTAATGAGAACGCTTTGGTTTCCTAAAATTAAACTGCCGACTTCAGAGTCTGCCATCCCAAAGAACCTCGCAGCCCTTTAAAGCCTGCATTTGTGTATGACAGACGCACTTCCAGGCACCTCGTGTAGACTGGTGGAGTGCATGCCCTCATCTGTTAAACTCTGCAGGTCTTGGTGGCCAGTTTTTGAAGTTCTTGGGAAAATTCTGAGCAATGGATTTTGTTGAGACTCATGACTAAGTGAACTACCCCCCAGGACGACGGGCCGATGGTGGGTGCACTCCCGTCAGGGTCCTGATCTCTCTGTGTGGGTCCATTGATTGCTGGGTAATTTCTGTGTGACAGGAGTATATCAGGCGGCAGCTCGAAGAGGAGCAGCGGCACCTGGAAATGCTTCAGCAGCAGCTGCTCCAGGAGCAGGCCCTGTTACTGGTAACGCCCGCGTCTGTCTGTCTGTAGTGCCAGGGCGCGTCTGTCCTCCCCGAGCGGGCGCAGCTGTGCGCCACCAGACCGTTCTGGGTAGTGCTGGGGGCTGGCAGGCTCCAGTGGAGACACCTCCGTGGTCCTACTGCTTGAGACACATCTCCAGGTGGCTTTTATTTACCTACTCACTTCCCACTGAGAACTGTTCTTGTTCGGTAGATAGACAAGGCTTTGAACAGAAGTTGGCATTCAGTGAGCAAACAAGAACACTCAGGGTTGATGGTTGAAAGCGCTTGCGTAGGACTTCACCTAGTTTACTCTGGGTTCCTTTTGAAACCACTGCTCCTGACGTTTAATTGAATTCTCTCTTACTCTGTCCAGTGATATTGTTAGCAACAAGCTGTCAGATTTTCCACAGGTAATATGCTGTTTAAAACCCCAGCATTTTACTTTGTTACAAAGCATGGGGGGCGGGGGGGGAGATAGCATGGTCATTGGAGAGTTGAGAATGAATTGGAGAAGAGGCGAGCCCTCCAGCCCTCCAGTGTCCCCTAGATTCAATGTTCTCCTCTCCCTCCCCAAGGAGTGCCGCTGGCGGGAGCTGGAGCAGCACCGGCAGGCAGAGAGGCTCCAGAGGCAGTTGCAACAAGAACAAGCATATCTCCTGTCTCTACAGCACGACCACCGGAGGCCGCACCCACAGCCGCCGCCGCAGGAAAGGAACAAGCCCAGCTACCACGCCCCGGAGCCCAGGCCCCACTACGAGCCGGCCGACAGAGCGCGAGAGGTACCGCTCCCCTGCGTCGTCCCCTGCTGTCCCCTGCATCGCGCAGGCAGACAGGAGTCCGTGTGGGTTCCTGTAAGGTATTCGTGCTAGACGTGCCCTCAGCTGATGGCCCACCCCCTCGCGTCTCCAGCGGAGAAACAGGTCCTGAGAAGTGAGGGGCTGACTCGCAGGGCTTCTTACCCAGTTCAGCGTGTTCTCCATGGAGGACCAGGGTGCCTTTGGTACCGATTCTCCGATGAACTGAACACTGAACTAAACACAAGGGGGAAGGTTGTCTGGCAGAATCATTCTTTAAGATGCAAACGAGGGAGTGGTGGCCGGTTAACTGTTTTCCAAAACGGAGATGAGGAGAAGTGTGTCCACAGCCCCGACTTCCTGACTGTTCAGTGATCCTGACTTGGTACCAAATTGCTGCCTCTGGGAGAGCCTCCCGGTGAGTGTGGCACAGGTGGCCTGGGCTCCTGGGACGAGGGAGCCTGTCAGCCTCCCGTGCCCCTGGCCCCCGAGAGCCCGGGGAACACATGTGCTGGAATGCCCTTTTTGCAGGGCATTTGAATGAAATGTGTTTTGGATCCCTGGTGGCAATCTTTTCATCTGTTGGTTTAGTTGGTTGTGACACATTTAATGTTTTCTGGTTTATCATCCTCATGTACAGCCCTAGAACTCCTGCCAGGAGGAGGTCTCAAGGGCCTCTTCTAACTGGTTCTCTTAAGTATTTCTTTGTCTGGAGTCCAACCCTGGACCTGCTCTATTTGCCTCCTCCCTTTTAAGCTCTCCCTTTCTTTCCTTGTAGTTGAAGTAAATAGAAAATTTCTCTTCACAGTCCGCCCACTGCCAGGCTTTCTCTGGTACCTGCTTTCCCCACTAACACTGTGTTATGTCTTCTAATTCTCCAATGCAGGTGGAAGATAGATTTAGGAAAACTAACCACAGCTCCCCTGAAGCCCAGGCTAAGCAGACAGGCAGAGTGCTGGAGCCGCCAGTGCCTTGCAGATCAGAGTCCTTTTCCAGTGGCAGCGCCGAGCCTGTGCACCCCGCCCTGCAGACACCAGCTGAGCCCCAGGTGCGGCAGCCAGGCTGCGGGTCGGGCACGTGGGGCTCAGAGCACGGGCCTGCTGGTAGTAATCACATTTTGGTGTGTTCCCACATTGAGAGAGAGAAGAGAAGAGCAGGAGTGAGTTTAGACTAGCCTGAAGAGGACAGACCCTCTTTTGATAGGGAAAAGTAGGAAGTGTTTTAAGATTTTTGTTGTACTTACTAAGCATATCCAGATTTGGTGATTTTTTTCTCTTAGTCTAGCATTCTGTCAGATGTTCATGAATAAGTGTTTTCTTATTCTAATAGAAAGGATTTTTTCAGTTTAGTTTTTAGAAAGTTAGTGTTACAAGTACATAAGGGGCGAACCAGACCTTTTCTTAGCCAGACCTTGGCACCTGGCTAGCCCAGGAGGGGGCATCAGAGAGCCAGCACTGCCCTGAAATTCCAGTACAAGTTTTGGGTCTGTCCAAATGTGCATGCTTTTTTGTTTTGTTTTGTTTTTTTCTGGGAAACGAGCCTTTTATCAGATTCTCAAAAGGTTCAAGATCCTAAAAAAGTTACAATCCAATAGGTGAGGTGTGGCTTTCCCTGAAGCAGGTGGGGTCAAGGTCACAAGCGCTCACGGGTCGCCACGGGGCTGGGGTGGGAGAGCCTGAGCTGAGTGCGGTGGGCCAGAGAGCCGCTGCTGTCTGGGGAGAACATGGACGGCAGAGGGTACCACGCAGAGGTCTTAGGTTCCCACTGCTGCCACGTTCTCGCTGAAACAGCAGACTTTTAGTCATTTTGCTCTGCAGCTGTGCAACGCAGAATATTGGAAGCAAGTTCTGAGGCCTAGGTTCACTGAGGTTTGCATGTGTTGGGGGCAGAATCCATGTTCTTGTGAGAGAAGTAGCTGTGGTGCTTCGAACGAGGATTTGAGTGTGCTTCACAGGAACGAAGCCCCGTGTGAGGAGTTTAAGGAGCACAGAGCCAGGCTCTGGCCCTCGGGGGCCATGGGAGGCGTCCCATGGAGTCAGCCGCTCGTGCTTCACGGGAGAGCTGGCCCACCAGCCGATCCCAGTTCCGAGTAAAGGATGGAAAGACAAAGGAGACAGAGGGCAGGACAGGGTGAATGGGGAAAGGAGAAGGGGTTGGGAGGAGGGACTAGTAGAATCAGTTTGACGACGTTCCTGTGGAGAGGCCAGGATTAGTTTTTAATCTGAAAATTAGCCCTGCCATGAATAGAAAGCCTTCACCTATTTGGCCACCGACAGTTTAGGAACTAGGCGTTCCTGAGTTCCGCAGGCTGCCTTCCGTGCTGATGGCTCCTTCCTGTGGTGCCTGGCGGGGCCCCTGGCTGCTCCTCCTGGGAAGGCTGCTCTGGCTGCAGCAGGCACCTGTGAACACGTCCTCTCTGGGGAGTTTCCAGGGAGGGCCCTATGCTAAAGCCATGTGTTGAACATTGTAGTTACAGATAACGCTTTCAGATCCACGCTTTTCCGGACTCTGAACAGTTTACACGTTCTAGGCATCTGAGATTATACCAATCACTAGCTCTGTGACTCGCAACTAGAACTCACAGACCTGGAACTAATTTTGAATCTTGCTTTTGGGAAGGTTGAATCAGTTGTGATTTGGCATTTCCCGTTTTCATTAAATGCATTGATGTAATAGATATATAGCTGGAGTTATGTAAATTGCAATATTAAACATTTTAAAACAAAATAAATTAAAGAAAATACAGAATATTTCAGAGATTGTTTGTCCAATTTAAAAGCAACCAGATAAAAACCCAGTTAACAAGTATTGTCATGTAGAAGGTCAATTTAGGGAATCATAGTAATGAATATTTCTAAAGAAATTAAAGTTCTTTTTTCCTAACTAGTGTGATGTATGGAGATCTAGGGTTTGAGTGTTTTAAGACTCGGAAGAAGAAAGAAGGATAATGTTGGTGTAGTTGGAAAGTTGGCTGTTTTTAAGTTACTATATTATAATTTGTCAGAACCTGAGGGCTTAGTGTTTGCTCACTCAGTGTGCTGTTTCACTGCTGCTGGTCAGAGGGCGGGCCCTGCAGGGAGCAGGCGGGCAGGCAGGTGTGCACGCGCCGGCGCCTCCGTGCCGCCCGCTGCCTCCAGGCTCTGCTCGGACATGGACATGCAGGAGCGCGTGTCCCCCATCAGCACAGGAGGCAATAAGCCTTTTTTAAATTTTAAATCTTCACGTTTGCTGCTCTTGTAATGTTTATCTGGACATTGAAAGAGTTTTCCTCCTAAGTGTACATTTGTTTTCCTGTCCATACTGTGTCCCAGGTCCCTATTCACTTTAGCCTGAGCGGCTTGCTGCCGGGCTTACCTAACCCCAGAGCACCAGCTGCTTTCCCCAGTTCCTGCTTTGAATTTGGAATTGACCAGAAAGCCTTTTATGCAGAACGCATTGAATGTCTTGTGTTTTGTTTTCTTGTAAGGTACAGTGGTCCCACCTGGCATCTCTCAAGAACAATGTTTCCCCTGTCTCGCGATCCCATTCCTTCAGTGACCCTTCTCCTCCCAAATTTGCACACCACCATCTTCGCTCTCAGGACCCATGTCCACCTTCCCGCAGTGAGGCGCTCAGTCAGAGTTCTGACTCTAAGTCGGAGGCGCCTGACCCCACCCAAAAGGCTTGGTCTAGATCAGACAGTGACGAGGTGCCTCCAAGGGTAAGAAGCAGACAGACAGATGTGTGCTGCTTTTTCCTTTTTGTTGTTTTTTAAAAATTACTTATTTCAATTAAGGGTATGGTGACTTCACCAGAATTACGGGGCCATGAAATTTCAAAGGAACTTTTTACGGTGGGGAGAAAGCTCCACAGTTCGGCAGTTACGTCCAGCCAGTGCTAGCTGTTCATTGTTGTTGTTAACTCTATCTAAACACTGGGTGACAAAGTAACCAAAGAGCATGCTTCTAGAACAGGTAGAATAGCTTCTATTTTAGCAGTTGTCTTAAGTTTATACAGAAGTTACAGATTATTTTTCGACATTAACCATTATCCAAATTTTCAGAAAAGGTCTTGTAAAGAAAAATCATTAACAAAAATTTCAAAAAGGAGACATTTTTCTTTTTAAATTGAGGAATTTTTTGGCTTTGTTTTGCTTTCAACTTTTTTTAATTTTTAATTTTTTTGATAATTACTTAATGGTGAAATTAAACATAAAGGCACATTTAATTTTTCTTCCATTTAGAATTTGCTTCCTCTGAATATTTTCTTGCTTCCTACCAGTCTTTTGTTTCCTACTGATCCATTTGTGGACATTGTTTGGTTTCTTTGAGCTTATTTTCCTGATTCTCACATTTTCTTAGCAAAATGCTTTGTATGTCCCCGCCAGCAGACGGCTGCAGAGGCACCGGCTGTGGTCCCGCGCCTTCGCTGCCTGGACTACGTTTTCTCTTCCGTGTGTCAGTGGAGGCCGAGCGGGCAGGGTGGGGGCGGGGCAGTGACAGTGAGGCTACCAGAATTAGGACTGCTGTAGAAAACGTTTTCTCTCATATTTTCAAGAACTTGATTGCTGTGTCTTCTACCCAAAGGTTCCTGTGAGAACAACGTCTCGGTCCCCTGTGCTGTCCCGTCGGGACTCCCCGCTGCAGGGCAGTGGGCAGCAGAATAGCCAGGCTGGGCAAAGAAACTCCACCAGGTAAAAGAGGGCGGAGCTTAAGAGCAGGCTTTCGCACAGTCGCCTTCAGTCTTTTGTCATCTTTTTTCATTAAAATGCCCATAAACAGGGAAGTTCTGTGGCAAAGAGGAGATTATCAGTTTATGAAAGAAAAACTGCATAAACTGTATTAACCGCCTGTCTGTGAGGGTGAGTGCAGAGCAGTGGGGGAGGCCTCGAGAGCATGGGCCTGGGGTCTCCAGGGCCGTGGGAATACGAACATGACAAGCAGCACTAAAGAACGTCCTGGTTGGCTTACAGTCACAGTAAACCAGTGAACTAACCAAATACTGTTGTCAGTGTAAAGCTCTTCTGTCCTGTGAACAGCTCTTAGCCGCATGAGGCTAGTGGCTGCTAGATTATACGGCTAAATTCGAGCGTAACTTCATTAAAATTAAATAAGAGTAAAACTTGATTTTCTTGGTAACACTGGCTGTGTGTCGAGTGTCCAGTAGCCACAGCTCAGCTGTGGGGTCCCCACCACCTCTGGGCTGGAGCAGGAAGAGGCCACGCTGCTGGGTGTTTGTCCTTGCCCCTTACCGAGCCTCAAGGTCCTCTGTGCTGGAGGTGGGGCTCTCCAGGAGCCACAGAGCCGCCTGGTCCTTGGTGAGCAGGTGGCCGGGCTCTCCTGGGACCGAGTGTCCTCCGGGCCCTGTAGCCCCTGCCTCTGCCAGGCCCGGCCGGTCACATCCGCCCGCACTCCCAGTCACAGCCACACAGAGGAGGACGCTGGGTAGTGTCAGCTCTTGAGACCAGTGTGGTCGGCTGGGAGCAGCAGCCCGGAAACAGTATAATTTTGTGCACAATTTGTATAAGTGGCTTTTTTATAATGTTGCTATGGCAGAAATGGTGACACTTTTAGACCCAACAATAGCATTAGCTTTGCCTAATGAAGATTCGGGGTCTGCTAATGGTAAGATATCATTTACCTATTTGGTTTGTTGGGGTACCTGAGATAAAAACCATGAATAACGTTCGAGCTTCCTGTGTGTAGGCTTTCTCATCATACCTGAGTTTCATGCGTGCGCAGACAGCTCGATGCTGCATCTCGGGTGATGCATGAGCTGTTCTCTCCCTTTCTTTTCCGACAGTAGCATCGAGCCCCGGCTGCTGTGGGAGAGAGTGGAGAAGCTGGCACCCAGGCCCGGCAGCGGAAGCTCTTCGGGATCCAGCAACTCGGGATCCCAGCCCGGCTCGCACCCTGGCTCTCAGAGCGGCTCTGGGGAGCGCTTCCGAGTGAGATGTAGGCTGCCTTTCTGTGTCTCCCCTGCCCCCCGTTAGCGACACTGGGCTCTGAGTAGTGCACTGAAGGCCTCCCAGCCACGGGAGCTGCCTGGTGTTTGTACAGTGCACGTCACAGCGTAGGCTGCAATGGCACTGGTAGTCACCATAATCTTAATAAGACAGCTGACTTCCGAGAGCTTACACGTGCCTTGCATTGTGAGCACTTCACCTGTGTTGTCTCATTTCATCTTCATCATAACCTCATGAGATACACTTACTGTGTCTCCACTTTACAGACTATAGTAACCAGTTCAGTGAGATTGATTAGCTAAATGTCTGAGCTGAGATTTGAACCTACTTCTTTTACTACAGACTCCATCAGTATCGGCATTAACATTGGCTATTTAAACCTACTCAATAATAGGTTATGGTATTGACATGGCAAGGTTCTGTGAGGACGTGTTATGTAGAGTGTGGTGACGATGGAGTCTGGGTAGGAGTCAGAAGCCCAGGAGTGCAGACCGGCGTGCAGAGACCCTGCACAGAGGCTGAGAGCAGTGGGCAGGGGTGAGGGGGAGAAGCAAAGGCTAATGGGCCAGTCTGCCTTGTAGCACCATCTGGATGCTTGTATGTATCTGCCTTTCTTGTCTCTTGAATTTCACAGCATCATCCAAATCTGAAGGCTCTCCGTCTCAGCGCCTTGAAAATGCAGCGAAAAAACCTGAAGACAAAAGAGAAGTGTTCAGACCTCTGAAACCTGCGGTAAGGCTTGCACAGCCCCGTGCTCCCTCCGGGCGTGGGGAGATCTTCCTGCTGCGAGCATGTCTTTGAGGGCACGCCTTTCTGTGGGCCCTCACAGAAGTGAGGGATTAGAATGAAGGCCACAGCCCTCAGACACATTTATGCCCCTCCCAACTTAGTCACTAAGAAAAATACAGAAGAAAGAAAGCCTTTATCTCTTTGCTTTGCATTAGCCTCTATGCATTCTAGATGAGCTGGGTGTTGTAATACTGGCTTTAGAATCTTTCCCATCACCTTTTAACATCACCTGTTATTTAAGTTCCGCCTTTTGGTACCTAGAGAGGCAGCTGTGAGTTTCCCATGCTCCTCCTGTAACCCCTGCCGCACTAACCGACCCTGTCTCTGCACACTTTGCGGACTTGTGCATCTGTTGGAACTGTGATTTCTTGCTTGATGAGTCTGTGCTCCGTCTTCCTCTCTCCGTGCTCCCGGTGCTGTGCTCCTGCCCCGCCGACGGCATGCTGCCGGACGCAGAGTGAAGTGGTAAGCAGCTCTGGAAATGCCGGAGCCATTCTAACTGCCTTTCACACGCAGCTTGTCCTCCATCTGCATTGCTTTTCCTTCCTCAGTTTGTCTTTTGTTCTTTTCTAGAATGATAAAGCCCTGATCTTTTGCTTCATCTTTTTAACACATAAAATTTGCTGCATGCATTTTTTGTTATTAAGTATAGCTTAAAAAAAACTTTTTAAAAAGCCACAACTGTATTTATGCAATGGTTAGCAAGGCTCAAGGTTCATACTTGGTCACTGTGATTTCAGAGGCTCAGGCTCAGGCTCAAAGAAAGGAAACATGCTCCTCACTGGGGAGGAGAAAACTCTGGTGGAACTGCTGGGGGAAAGGCTGCAAGGCCTGCTTTATAAAAAGTCATTGTTTTAAAGTAGAAAGATAAACTTTAGACTTCTGTATGAAAAGTGGACTAAGAATAACAGTCGCGCTTGGGAATTATATTTGGACTAGAGGCCCAGTGCACGGATTCGTGCACAGGTGGGGTCCCTCAGCCGAAACCTGCTCTCTGACATCCCCCAAGGGGTCCCAGGTTGCGAGAGGGCGGTTCTCGGGTGACGTACCATGGAATCAGGCTCCTTCCTCTCTGGTTCCGAGTGCATCACCCAAGAACTGCAGCTGCCAAGTCACCACAGCTCGGCAGCTCCTGTGCTGAGCACCTGCCCCCTGGTGGTCAGTGCACATCAGAGCTACCGGTTGGCAGGTTGCTTAGGCTTTTATAGATAGATAGATAGATAGATAGATAGATAGATAGATAATTGATTGAGTCTTAAATATCTCAGTGTAGAGTAGAAAAGGGAAACTTTCCTGTGATTTCTTTTCTCTGATGTTCATATTCACTGGCACCATTGCAAGGTGATAATTTGAAGATTTGGGGTAAGGCAGGGACAGATGGATATTCTCCGTGAAAGAAGACTTTGTGCCGGGTCGGCATGGCTCAGTATTTGAGCTTCCACCTGTGATCCAGGAGGTTCTGGTTTGATTCCTGGTCAGGGCACATGCCTGGGTTGTGGGCTCGATCCCCAGTGTGGGCCATGCAGGAGGCAGCTGATCAATAATTCTCATCATTGATGTTTCTCTCTCTCTCCCTCTTCCCTTCCTCTCTGAAATCAATAAAAATATATTTTTTAAAGAAGACTCTGTTACATAGGCAGGTATCTTTATAACAAGTTCCAAGGATCTGTCTACATACATTTTTTTATCTAGATTCTAGAATTTTATTGTATAGTTGAAAAAATGCTATCAGCTTATCATAAGCAGGTTCTTGTGGGTTTTTTGGTGTGAGATTTGGACTGTTTGACTGTTGGGTCTTTTTTGTCAGAGACCTCACCTTCATATACTGGTAAATGCTCGACCACAGTTTTCCAAAACTGAGGTTGTGGCTTTTACTAATGGAGAAAGTGAAGAATGTCTCATTCCTTGCTGCTCTCTCCTCTCCCCGCTCCTGGCTCACTCTTTTCTGTCCCCGCATTAGGACTTGACTGCACTGGCCAAAGAGCTGCGAGCAGTGGAGGACGTGCGGCCACCGCACAAGGTGACAGACTACTCCTCGTCCAGTGAGGAGTCGGGGACGACGGACGAGGAAGACGATGATGCAGAGCAAGAAGGGCCCGGGGAACCCATGTCTGGACCGGAGGACACCAGAGCAGCGTCAGTCCTGGGTGTATTGTAGACGGCAGAGCCCCCACCGAGTCTGTCTGCCCTGGGGACAGGTGGTTCCCTGACCTGTCTTGAGACCGCGAGCGTATAGCGCGGTCGGCCGCCAGTGTGCGTGCATGCCAGTGCCTCTCCCCAGTTCCCCCTGTGTAGTTCTTTTTTTCTTTTTAATTTGAAAGTCCCATAAAAGGGAAATTTCTGATTGCTTTAACTACTTTAACCATAAGCATTCATTCTGATCTTTTTGCTCAAAAACAAACTGTGCCAGCATGAATTTGTTTGTTGAAGGGAAAGTGCTAAGTATTTGTTTTCCTTAAGGAAATGGTCTATGTGTAACCTGATCTTCTAATGACCTTGAGAAGGTGAGAAGTGTAGATACAATATCCTCAACTGATGGTAATTCATGGTCCTTCACCTCTGGATGTTTCTCAGTAGGTCGTCTCTGAATTTGAGCAATGGGGAAACAGAATCCGTGAGAACCATGATTGTCCATGACGATGTGGAGAGTGAGCCAGCCATGACCCCGTCCAAGGAGGGCACGCTGATTGTCCGCCAGGTACCCATGTCTCCACACACTTGTCAGGCTGAGCTTCTCCTGAGTCATTAACCCACTTGCTCATCCACTCCTCATGCTGTTTCTACATCATCATCTGTTCTCATGTTAACAAGACCTGAGGGCGGAGTGTCTGGGCCAGGGCGGCAGGTGTGAGCTGCACGCCAGGAGCGGGGCTGGCGGCACCCCTGCATCGCTGCCTCTGCACGCCCCCAGCAGCCTCAGCGCTAGGCGGAGCCTGTCTGTCTAGAGTAGGAAAGCCACAGGCGGCCTTCAGGAGGCTGCAAGCCAGGCAGGAGGGCCCGTGCAGCAGCAGGCGGAGGTCGCTCTTGTGTGTCCCAAAATGCTCGCTTCCTTCCCGCCGACCATTAATGTTCCTGCCCAGACGCGCTCAGTTGGGTGACCACCCTACAGCTGTCTGTCCATTGCTTAGCTGAGCTGTGAGGACAGGTGTCTGCTTCTCCTTTAAATAGAACAGGCGCCCGCCCAACACGTTGACTTTTCCCTGAGTGTGTCTCATGCTGTGGCAGTGCATTCGGGTGGAAAGGGAGAAGAACGTGGAAAAGACCAGGATTCAAAGAAGCGACAGGCACTTTCTAGAGCAGGGGTCCTCAAACTACGTCCCACGGGCCACATGCAAATACAAATATTGTATTTGTTCCCGTTTTGTTTTTTTACTTCAAAATAAGATATGTGCAGTGTGCATAGGAATTTGTTCATAGTTTTTTTTTAAACTATAGTCCGGCCCTCCAACGGTCTGAGGGACAGTGAACTGGCCCCCTGTTTAAAAAGTTTGAGGACCCCTGTCCTAGAGCTTTAGACAGAAAGATTTAAAAAGAAAAACCGCTGCTTGTGGTTTTGGTGACGGCAGCTAGAGTGGCAGGCAGAGCAGATGGGCACCTCTCGGTGCCGCCCGGGCGGGTGCCTCCGTGCTGCTGGCCCTGCGTGGGCGCCAGCAGGGAGGTGGGCAGCAGCCGCCCCCCGCCTCTCCATGGAGAGGAGCCGTCAGGAGTCACACAGACCTGAGCAGAGGCAGTTGTCAGGGGCGTAGGCAGCTCCAGCGGCGCCTGAGCGAGACAAGTGTGCCTGTTTTTTCTACAGAGTACAGTTGACCAAAAGCGAGCCAGCCATCATGAGAGCAATGGCTTTGCCGGGCGCATTCACCTCTTGCCAGATCTCTTACAGCAAAGCCATTCCTCCTCCACTTCCTCCACCTCCTCCTCCCCATCTTCCAGCCAGCCGACACCCACCATGTCCCCACAGACACCCCAGGACAAGCTCACTGCTAATGAGGTAGGTCTTGCCCACGCTGGCTGCTCTCCTAGGTTAGACCTGCTGCCTGGTAGGGAGTGTGCAGCGCAGACCTTCCGTGTCCCTCCCTTGCCTTCCCCACCCGCTTTCTTCTGTCACCTCCTCTCCTCCCACCCCCAAGTAACATGGTTCAGATCTGCATACAAATCCCATAACTGGATCAGTCTCCCCCACACCTGCAGCTCACTTCCCTGGTCTCAAGGTCAGTGTAGTTGCATGGCTTTCTGTGTTCAGTTTACTTTCCAAAAGTCTAAATAAAGTGATTGCTGTGTTCTCCGATCCGTTATGTATTTGACATGAAACTCTTAGTCATTTGTGGGACCTTCTTTATTTTTATCCAATAAATAAAGCAGAAGCAGCTGGGAAAGCAGACTTGGCCTCACCTGGGCAAGCTTGCCACCTGAGCAGGCGTGTCCTGCAGACAGGCTGGCTGGCTTCCTGTGGGGCGGCATCGTTTGTGTTTCCACCAGCCCTGTTAAAGGATTTCTTCCCTTTGACATTCACCATCACTCAGAGTTTAAGAAGAGGTCAAGTGTTTTTTGGGGGAAACCTAAACATGTAGGGTTTTCAGCAGGAAGGTCTGGGTGTGCTTTCCATGGGAAGCCTGGAGTGGGCCTCGGGGCTGGCTGTGGCGCTCAGGCGGGTGCTGGGTGATCTTCGCTCTTCGGGACAGGTCGCACCCCTTCCCCTGCCAATGACGGAGTGCTCCTTGAGCACCTGTTACTGAACTAAACCTGATTTGATTTCTTGGGAGGTTTGATTTAAATGCATTTGTCTAAGACTTGAAGGAGGTCAGAGGTGGCAGGTCGCTTCTGCCAGTCTTGTCGCTGTGAACCTGTAACTGCTGGCCCGCCTACCTGCTTCTGTTTTGGTTCCCTTGTTAGAAAGAATCAGAATGACCCTTCCCCTGCCCTCCGGGGAGCAGGGGCAAGTCGACTGCTTCCACAGCAGGGTCGGCACCAGACTGGGCATCGGCTGGGTTGGCCGCGGTCGTGGGACAAGCGCAGGAAGCCCGCGGGGGCAGCTGTGCCAGCTGAGAGCCGAGGAGGGTTGGCTCCAGGACAGGCGACGAGCTGCCCGTCGGGGGAGGTGGGACGGACGCCAGCCCTGGAGCAGACGGTTCTGTCTCCTCCGCCTGCACACGTCCTCCTTATACTCATTTCAGTTTGCTCCGTTTGCTCTGCTGCACAGTATTTACTACACCCCTTAACCCACTAAACTGGCAAGTTTATTTTTCTGTTTGTTTTGTTTTTAATTGTCATTACATTTTCACTTAACAATTTGTTTCACTTTCCTTGTGTTTTTTTCTCTTAAGTGACATTATTAACCAAAACACTAGTGCTCCTGAAAGAGCAAGGGAGGCGGCTTCTTCTGCCGTGGCACCGCTCACTCGGAGCCGTGCGATGCGGTCTGATGGTGACAGTCTAATGGGGGACCGCCAGCGCTCCCCTTGCTTTCTGGCAAGAGGCTCACTTTACAATAAGTAACATAAAGTTAAGATTTGCCAGGATTCCAACATAGATTAATTGGACCTTTTTGGACAGGAAAGTAAATTCAGAAATTGATGAATTGAGATCAAGACATTTCAAACCTCCTTTAGGAGGTTTCATTATTATTATTTGTTTTAAACTACTAGGAGCTTGAAGTGTAGATGTGATGGGCAGCGTGCAGCGTTCTTGGCCTGTGAGCAGTGCTCCTGGGAGGGCCCACGCGTGCTCTGGAGTGTGTGCGTGCACCCAGGCCTCTCAGGCGACTGCGGAGGGTGATGCAGGAGGAGCAGGCCTGGCTGTGGGAACAGTGCAGCTTCGGAGTGGGTTGGAATGTTTTAATGTTTTAATGTTTGCCTTTTTCATTGTATTAATAAAATTGAAATTTGCATTGCAGACTCAGTCCGCTAGTAGCACACTCCAGAAACACAAATCCTCCTCCTCCTTTACACCTTTTATAGACCCCCGATTACTGCAGATCTCTCCATCTAGTGGGACAACAGTGACTTCTGTGGGTAAGTAAAGTAGCAGCGAGCAAGCAACTGACACACAGGACGTGGCCTTTGCGTTGCTCTCGGGTGCCTCGGACACACCCGCTCCCGCTTGCATTGCCTTATTTGCAATGAGCTGCATAGTTGATTTCCTTTTTCCATATTCATCTCCCACGAACTTCTTTTCCTGGACAAAGACTCAGTTATGGCCACGAATATTTCCTCAGTGAGGGGGCGGGAGGCAGGCACAGCGTTGGCGTGTGCAGAAAATAATTCCAAGTGTACTGTGTTTCAGTGGGATTTTCCTGTGATGGAATGAGACCGGAAGCCATAAGGCAAGATCCTACCCGGAAGGGCTCAGTGGTCAATGTGAATCCCACCAACACTAGGCCACAGAGCGACACCCCAGAGATCCGCAAATACAAGAAGAGGTTTAACTCTGAGATCCTGTGTGCTGCCTTGTGGGGTAGGTAGCCTCCTGCCGTGCTGGCTCTTGCATTGTGGACTTTTAGGGAAGGGCAGTGGTGTCGTTTGGGGATTTTTTGAAGAGCTGCTCAGGACGAGACGGCAGGTGCCTGTGGTCCCAGCCCTGTGGCTTCCGGGCAGCGGGCGGTGCTGGGCTCGCGGCCAGCTGTCCAGCCACCAGGTATTGGGAAGAACGGCTCATCTCCATTTCTTCATGGAAAGAAGCAAAGTGAAAGACAGGAAGACGCTGGGTTTGGTTCATATTTGTGGGGAAAATGGAGAAATTTGTCGAATTCTTTTCTTTAGGTGTTTCACTTGAGCTTGTTTTCCTTGCTGTCTGTGCTGTGGACCTGACGCTTTAGAAGCAGGTGCCACTGGCAGGGCCGCTGGCTGTGGGGGCGCCTTCCCCGACCCCTGCAGTGTAGGTGACCGCATGCAGACCAGCCTCGGGGAGGGGCCGTGCACAGACTCTGCCCCACACTCTCTACTGTCCTCTGCCGTCCGCTCTGCCCTTCCTCAGTGCTCTGCTCCCAGCTCCTCACTGTGTGTGTTCTCCTCCCCTGAACACCAGCTCTGCTGTCTGTGACAGGGACCCTGCTTCTACTCGGGAAAGTTTCTTACTCCCTGGACACTGCGAGTACGTGCCTGGGACACAGTTCATTCATGGTGGGGTCCAGCACATTCTCCTCATGCGGGTTCCTGGAGTGTCGTCTGCATTCTCCACAGGGGCTGGGCCCGCTCTCCTCACCCTGCCCCCAGCGATTAAGGCTGCCATGAAGCCCCCACATTCACCTCTGACCCTCAAGGGGTTCCTCGTCCTGTCTGTGAAGAAGGGCCCTGCATTTGATAACCTTCCTCCCCGCCTGGCTCCTCCCTCACACCTGCTCAGCCTCCTCCGGGGTCTGGAGGGCTTATCTCCTCTGCCCCTTGAAGACACACCTGCTTTCTCTCTTATTCCTTGAGATCTGGACTTTGGTCCTTGTCACTACTGAGTGTTTTAAAGCCCCTAATGATCATAAGAACGTTTCTTTAGTAGCTGCCAGGTAAAGGAAACAAGCCATTCGGGGGTAATGGGGCTCAGGTGACCGCAGCCGAGGGCGTCGGCACCCACGGCCCTGAGTGCCGAGGCCACTCCGGGGCTGGGCCATCACCTCTGCTCCTAGCACAGGCCATTGGGGCGTTCACGTCATCAAAAAGGATTATGTTACGTCCAGTGCAAAAGTGTTAAATATGTTAATTTTTAGAAATTGACATTGTTTTTATCTATAATGCTTCTACGCTGACTTTATATTCCTCTAATGTCCACCAAGTGCTGGGCCCCATTCTGTGTGCCGTTAACTTATTTTTTTTTTTTTATGAAATCCTTATTTTTCCTAACTAACTTCTTCGATACCTCTGAGAAAAATAGGAGTGACTTGAGCCAATGTTTTTAAAAATGAAGTGGGACTTTCATTTATCGCTGAGTGAAAAGAAAAGACTGGGGCGTGCCTTAGAGTGGAAACGTGCCTACGAGCCGGTGTGTCGGAGTTGCTCAGTGGCTGGGTCAGCAGGGAGGGTTTCCTTAACCTGCAGTGATGGCTGCTGTGACTGTGAAGTTCAAGTCGGCCTCGTAGAGACGCGGGCCGAAGAGCCCAAGCACCTGTGAGAGGTGGACTCGGAATGTTTCTCTATAGCAGAAATCACAGCATTTCTGTCCTGCTGACCATTGTTGGATGCCTTCGCTTTTTTGTACCTTCAGGGAAAGGGCTGGAGGATAAATTGCTGCATATTTATTATGTTTTTTAATAAGGCAGTCTTCCCCTTCACAGCCAGGATTATTTTAACACATTTTTTTTACGTGATTGTTTCCATCCTTACGTTCAGAGTGAACTAGAGGCCCAATGCATGAAATTTGCACACAGGTAGGGTCCCTAGGCCTGGCTGGTGATCAGGGCCGATTGGGGCCTTCCGGCTGCCGGCTGGGGCCTCCCTTCCCTGGCTGCAGGCTGCCAGCCTGGGCCTTCCTTCGTTCTGCGCCACCCCCTGGTGGTCAGTGCACGTCATAGCAAGCAGTCGAACTCCTGGTCTCCCAGTCCAACTCCTGAGAAGACACTTGGCATATTAGCCTTTTCTATATATAGATTATCTGCAGCTAACTGTATATTATTGCACTTACCATGGAATTTAAAGGAATTTAAATCACGTGTTATGCAGCTCTTAGCCACTCTCCCAGCAGCCTACGCCAGGTTCCTCTGACTGCACTCACAGTTCCTAGCACCGCGCGCCTCTGAACAGTTAGCACACGTTTAGTTACACCCAGCAGCCAGAGGTTTAAACTGTATTTATGGGAAGTCATTGCAGCATGTGAGCTCACTGTCTCCTAGGCCCCTCGTCTCCCAGGGGTGGTCTCCCAGTGACTGGCGTGTCCCTTTGGCGCTGGCTCTCAGCACTTGGCGCAGTGCTGGGAAGTGTGTGCTGGTGACGTGGAAGGTGGGGTGCGAGGGCCAACCCAGCTGCAGTTCTGTGTGTGTGAAAAGATGTTTCAGCGTTATCTTTTATTTCATTATTTTTTCTTACTGTAAAATTTTGATTGCTATTTGAACACTATTTTTGGAAACCACAAATGATAGCTTTCACAAGGCTCATGTTTTGGGTGGTTATTACCAGATCTTGGATGTAGATCAGTGGTTCTCAACCTTCTGGCCCTTTAAATACAGTTCCTCATGTTGTGACTCAACCATAAAATTATTTTTGTTGCTACTTCATAACTGTAATGTTGCTACTGTTATGAATCATAATGTAAATATCTGATATGCAGGATGGTCTTAGGTGACCCCTGTGAAAGGGTCGTTCGACCGCCAAAGGGGTTGCGACCCACAGGTTGAGAACTGCTGATGTAGATGCTTTTAGGTACTTGATATTGAAGGTTGACCAGGAAAATGCTGGAATATTGTGAAATGAAGTAAAACCTTTGGAACGGACCTGTCTGACGGCAGTTCTGTCGGTTAGTGTTTTGTTTTATCTGCTGCAAATATTTTTAAAGCTGCTTAGAATCACCTCACTTAGGTGGGAAGGGAAACACTAAGAACAACGTCCAAATGAGCTTCACTTTGATTCTCGGCAAAGCAGGCTCCAGGGAGCGGAGCAGGCCGTCCCGTCTCCTGTGGTAACCTGTGCTAGGTGGACGGCAGTTCTTCCAGCACTGAGGAACCGGGAGCCTGCTGGGAGGGTGAACAGGGAGCCGGGAGCCTGCTGGGAGGGTGAGCAGGGAGCTGGGAGCCTGCTGGGAGGGTGAGCAGGCAGAGAGCCGGGAGCCTGCTGGGAGGGTGAGCAGACAGGGAGCCGGGAGCCTGCTGGGAGGGTGAGCAGGGAGCTGGGAGCCTGCTGGGAGGGTGAGCAGGCAGGGAGCCGGGAGGGAGTATTGTTCATGTGAAGATTTCTGGGAGTCGGGAGCATATACTAGTATGTGTGTGTCACAAAACGTGGACCATGGGGTTCAAGAAATCATACTTTGCTCTGTATCATTTCATCCACCTGAAAATACTTACTGAGCAAATACTTCCTGAAGGCACAGATACCTGAGTTCAGGTCTCAGTGATTTTATTTCCCGGTTTAGGGAATTAGTGCAGACGTGTGTGCCCAGGCTCCTGGCACTATCGGTGACCTCTGCTCCGTGTTCAGAGTTCGTTCAGACCCAGGAAGAAAGGGCACTTGGGGAAGGAAGTGGCTGGGGCAGGTGTGAGTGCTCGCCGAGGCTGTGGGGAGGCCGTTGAAGTACAGTCTGGCTCGATGAGGACTTGGGAGGGAGGAGTTGGGTGCACAGTCACGGGGAAGGTCATGGCGTTGTTCCCTCTTGATATCTCTTTTGGGGAAAACTGGGAATCGAGGGGATGGAAATTATTAGTTACAGGTTTCTTTTTTTTTTTTTTTTCCG